ACGAAACCCGCGATGCTGGACTCTGACTGAATCTTTGCCGTTTTTTTTTTTTTCATTATATGACATAATCCGATCAAGCAATGTGGTAATCTATTGTTGTAGACAATGCGTCTAGTCAACGTTTCCCACCACAAGCGCATATGACTCACAGTGGCGTAGCAAACATCAAACATAAGCTCCATATAGGTGCTTCATTCGTAAAATAACTTAATCAATAATCATAGATGATTAGTCACAAAGCTTTCAAAATGTATATCTTTCTTTTGTCTTGCCTGTATAATCTGCATGGGCTATTACGTAATCAAGCTCTGTGTGGTCGTTATCAACCCTCATATGTTTAAAAATCGACTAATCTCTGTAATTTATTGTGGTATTTATACGTGTTAAATGCTACGAGAAATCTTAAGAATGCAACGAGGGCAGCCTTCAAGTAGAAGTGGGGAGACGGCCGCGAGCGATCGGAGACCCGTACGTCGAGGTCGCCGCGAACGTTATGTGGTTCATATGCAGCATCGCTAACTGGGACCGAGAAAGTCGTCTATTTCGAAATTTTAGCGTTGCGTGAGCTGCGATGTGTCGTTGCGGTGCCGTGGAGTCTGGTGGTATGCGCGGCGAGCGGACGGCGGCGCGCTGTCTGCGCGTTCTTCCGGACCGCACCTGTCGGACCAGTCGTAGCGCACCGCTGCCGCCTCGAGCGATCGGCCTTCAGAGTTAAATAATTAAATTGAGAGAGCGTCGCCGTAACCACAGCCGCCACCGCCGCCGCGCCAACGGGCCCCGAAGAAGCGGTCGCGGAAGCCCTGCCAGCCTTGGTGGCGCTGGCCTGCGCAATCGCGGCCGGTTTGGTGTGCGGCTATTGCGTCGTTGTTGCCGCACCTAATCTTCTCGGACGCCTTCCTACAAAGCTAAATCAATTGCTCTTTGATCGATCGAATTATTCATAATGTGAACGTTACATGTATCTTATTACTGCGCACAACTAATGTGAGAAGCTGCCAGGCTGTCGGTACACACGTTCGCGTCGACTGCGACCAGGAACAATAGCAGCAGTTTTGTTACGTTAATGCAATAATCAATTTCAATTTAGAAGTATTCATTTTCAAAGTAAATGATATCATGATTACGGTAAACTACGGGCTAACCGCTCTGTTAAAATCTACAACTAATTAGATATACTTAAGCCTATAAGAGAGTGGTCACTAGATTCAAACAATGAGAAATCAGATAATATTCCTTGTTTGATTCCATCCATAGCGCATGTCTGAAGCCCAGCAGTAGCTGATGATGAAAATGATAAGGCATTACTGTAATCCCGTTTCTTAACATCTTTATTCGTAATGTCTGCAAACAAAATCAAGACAAATCCAGTACATGATTACGAATTGACTTTTTTCAAATCCCGGCATAATAAATATTAAAGCAGCGCAAAAACACAATAACGTGTAATCTTTGGCTAGCGTGAACTACTGAAAAGTATCTATAATCATAATGTTTATATAACACAAATAATAATTGAAGAAAATGTCAAAGCTAAAGCTTAATCCACATATTTCCAAAGAATCGTTAAAGGTATCTACTATCTAGTTATATGAAAAATGAGGTGATACATATAATAATACTAAGTAATACCTGCTTTAAAAATACTTAATCCATTTAGAAAATATAATAAACAGGAATATTGGTGGAATCAGATTTTATGAAACTCAATATTTTGCTGTCTAATATTCACTTATAAAAATAAAATAATTAGGAAAGAACTTGTCCAGAAAATTTTAAGAAAAAATTTACACTCGTATATGTAGTGTAGAGGACTAATGAGAAAATGTCATACATAATATCAGTAGATATTTTTACCAAATAAGTAGGAATTTTAATGAAATAAGAAAATTTAATCTATTAAATATATTATTAGCTATTATTAACACATCAATGCTTACTTACTTCATACAAATTCCCGTCTATTGGTTCAAATATTTGTTTAAGTTATGATATTGTCTTAAGAAATTACTTCTCTCGACGGGTGTTAGAAAACATTTCTTCATGAGGTTTTTACCTTCTCATTTTTCGTAAAGACAGGGCCAGATAAGGAAGGGCTATCGTCCAGAATGGCAAAAATTAATTACGGTAAAATCTAGGACGGCAACGACTGGTCCGGTGGATTCCTCGATGGACGGAGACTCCAAAATGTTTCTTTTCTACTTGGAGAAGAATATTATACACATTACCATGCTTAGCATAGCCCGAAATAAAGCATTTTTCAAGGATTTTCGCTGAAAAACGTTTTTATATAGTAATCAGGAGCTCCTGTAGGTTTACTTAAGAACGCCTATGATTTATAATTTACTTACTGATTGGTTTGATGCATTAAAAATAGAAGGGCAGCGAAAATTGATTTTATCCGGAGCGGCTTAATAAGTATATTAAACCCTGTATACATACTTGTAAATCACTAAGATCAAATCGATTTTGTTCAAAACAATTGAATTAAAATAAATCAAAAAAGCTCCTGTTCATCATTATGTTATTGTTTCCTACTCATTCTCTTACTGATTGCCTGGTAGAGAATGCCGTATGGCAAGGATTCTCAACAATAAGTTCACCGTTTACACTACGGCCCCCGAACGAATTTTAAGTGGTCCGCACATCGCGTTGTGAGTCCTGGTCGCGGAAAGAACAGTGTTTATTGCTCTTGAATAGACACACTTATGAGTGTATGTTGTTTCTTAAATTAGCACAAGATGTTTTTTTGTTTTCTATACTATTATCTTAAAAACAATGAATATTACTTTTATTTCTTAACATTGGGTTACTTAATGCGCTTGTTGGGATAATAACTAAATAGGAATAGTCAGTGGGCCGCCTTAAATATATGAATTTTCCGTTTGATTCAACTGCCAAAAACCTTGCCATATAGGATATCCAATCTATGCTGTATTTCAATTAATCATCCAGGGTTTCATTGAGTCCGTACTCCAATATTTATATTAGTTTAAAACTAGACTACATACAATTATTTCCCAAAACATACTAATTTTCTATTCTTTTATTAGTGAAAATTTGATGATTTGGGCTAAGCAATTTAAGTCTTTCCACTTTAATACGATTATCACCGATGCTTATTTCTAAAGATTTTTGTTTTCTCCAAGTGTGAACTCGAACTTTTAGTATCGCAAAAACGGACGAAATTGTATAAAATAATCTTTTTTATTGTACTTAAAGTATAAATATATTTATTATTAAAGGTTCAATCGTAGATAAGTACACAATCGACATATTACATGAAGTCAATTTGTTTACCTGAAAATGAAATAGACTTACGAAACGGTAAGAAAGGAGAAGCAGTTATTATATTTGAGAGGTTTTATTTAATTCAACGTAGTTATTGAGTGACGGGCATCCTGTTTTAAAGCTTGTCGGCGGCTCAACAGTCGGACGATTCTCCGAATCAGTGGATACTGTCGCAAATTGCCGCTTTCGCCACCAGCTGAATAATGCATGCGATAACATAACATCACGTCGCGTGCCCGCCGCGCTCTTCACTCCGCGCCCTTCACAAACCACACTAAACCCGTTTACAACGTACCTACATTCCACCTAGATACCACTGTCATTCTAACCATTGTTACCTAACGTAAATTAAACTTGTCTGTGTTCTCGTTATCATATCTACATTTATCCTTACACAACGCAAATGGAACTTTCAAATTTTTTACATTCTGAATGATGACGTACACCTTGTCGCCGAAATCCGAGTGTTGGGATGTTAACATCGGCTGTTGTTGGCTTACGACGTGAGGTCGGTATCTGAGGAGTGGTAAGTTGGGCGGGTAGTGGCGACGGGAGGCCGGGCTGCCGTCGTGTGGGGTGGCCTGGCGGCGATTCCCACAGCGGCGGCTCCTCGACCAGTTCTTCGGAATGTGGTCGCGGCATCGGCCCGCACTTTCACCAAAACAAGTCGTTAACGGCCTCTTTCGGCATCGCACCGTGCACCGCAACCCCGCGCCCCGCCACCCGCACACGTGAAAATTAACAACACACTGATACTTGACTCCGTGATCGGCATTTCGGACGCAAGACCCTTTTAAAGTCCCGCACCGCAGAAAGCAATGAAACACTGTCTGTACCTTTCTTTTCTTCGGATGTTATGACTTGTCTCTGGTCAAATTCTACTCAGCCAGCTAATCTTGAGGAATCACATAATATCGATACAAAATCGCATTGGACTCTAACCAGACGCGATTGATTATCTAATATATTTGTTTATACCCCAACAAGTTCTCTTTATACATAATACTTGTGTCTTTGACAAATTAGTGATCCGAAGATATTTCGTTGAACATATGATTAAATTCAATTACTAGAATATGTTGAGTATTAGATAGTTCAAACACAAATCGAGACGTTATTTCTCAAAATGTCTTGTTCAATAATCAAATATTTGGATGGATTAGGGATACAAATTGCAGTGACAAAGTTAAAATATCTTTGAAGGACATCAATGTCAAAACATCGAAATCGTAAAGAAAATATAATGTTAAAAATGAATGTTTCTCAGGATAGCATTACTGTACGTACATCGCCATTCACGAAGGCCTATCCAAAATATATAAATATTTATTAAGTAGGTAACAACCTTTTTCAACGACCATCATACCACGTAAGTTTAATATTATCCAAATAATGAAGTGCGTCAACGATATGATAGTTTTGATGTAATAGTTTTTAATCTTTTAATAATTTAACGTAGATTAGTATTAATTGATCTATCGTTTTAAGCTTTGCAATTTAGGAACACCATTCTATATATTGTATTGGTATAGTTAGTAATGTAAACAGGGAGTACGAAAATGAGTTCAGTGCTGGCGACACTGAAGTAATGTCCCTGTCCGAAAACAGCAATTTGTTATGGAATCGTTTCGGAATAGTGTATTGATTCCGACCATCTAAACTAGCTCCTTCATATACTAAGAATTACATCAGAAAAATTACATTGTCTACAGGTACGGTCAACTGTCAGGCATGGTAGAGCCAGTATTTGGTGTGCTGGGTGCGGTTGCTGTAGCAGCGGCGGAACCCGCCCTGCCATACGCACTAGCGTTCGCTGCCGGCGCTATGATATACGTAGTTGCTGATGACATTATACCAGAGGCTAACGCGTCGTAAGTATATCATATCAAATTATATTTATCGTTATACAATATTTTAGCAAAATCTTAGTATTTTATATGATTTCCCTAAAAACATCCAATATCGCTGCCAGTATGCTGACTTGTAAACGTGGACTGTTTAATTGAATTCATATTGCCTTATTTTCAACCCGTATTTAGCACATAAAGTTGGGAACATTCATGGAATGTTTATTTAATCATACATGTTCTAGCCTTGGCATCAATCTTAGAATATTACCAGAACGAGTACGGGTTTGTAGTGGCCCTTCTCGAGACAGCTCGCCTTTCATTTGACGATAACGACATCCGTCCTTCACTGATCTTCTCAAATTATCCCGTATTCTGCCATATGAATAAATTTTAAGCTCGTAGCATAAATACAAATCAAACGTCTATTGCGTATCGTTATCTAGTAAATTTATGTTTTGTTATCATCGGTTTGGTTCTCTTTGAACACAGCATGACAAGGGTCACATCACAATTTCGACGTATTGAGCTTACAACGTCACATGTTTGGTTGAAATATCGGGGTGGTAACAAGGGCCAAAGTCTCATAGATACACTTCCCCTTGACGACACCATTGTCCATCTTCAGTATTGTCTGCAACCGGTTCCGTTCCCTTTCCGGTCTTTTGTGAACGAGTACCAGTTCAAGGACTTATTGACCGATTATTCTCACAGTGCACTGGTAATTTTTGCGTAACAAAAAAACGAGCTTTCCGTAAATGGCGCAATTTCTTTTTTGTCATGAGCTGTTCAAAACTAAGTAACTGATTTCTGTTATAACCACTGTTTATATATAAGTAAGATAAAAAGCTGTTTGTTTTATTATTTTTAGTTCTTAGGGTAGATTAATGTGCATACATTTCAGTTTTATATATAAGAACTCAATATATTAACGATATTGTTCTTTAAATATATTATAGTTCTCGCTTAAAGTTCATAATATGAAGTTTTTATATGTAAAGTATGATATATCGTCTGTGGATATCTAGGAAACACACTGAAATTACTCCGCGCACAAATTACACGACTTGTTAGTAAGGTTATTTTCAAACGTTTCGACAGTATGAATAATATCTAGTTCTGTCAACGTTATTGATATTAAGAATGATAATTTTCGTTTTCGTCCAAGCTAATGGATAGCATTATTTAAACAAATTAATGTGCTTTTTACACAGTGTTTCATTTTCACACGTTTTCAGATCATTTCTTTATGCCAGTACACCTACATTGTACGTCAATAAATCTCTAAGATAATTTGCACGAAATAAACAACTGTTCAACTGGAAAGTTTAATCATTTGCCGAACTGAAAAAGATACTTACATAAAAATAGGAACTGGTATCTCTCAATAATAGCCGCGTGAGACAACGGTTTGCGGTGCAGTCGTCACGTGATGTGTAGGCGCGCATGCGACGCCGCGCCGCAAATACGCCGCCCAAAATAGAGACGCGCCGTCTGACACCCCGGACGCCGCAACCCTCCGCACACCGCATCCGCATACACAGAAGGTCCATTTGCGTAATAAATTACATGAAAATACTTGCTGATCCCGCGGAGAAAGTATTTCAGGGAAGAAAGTAGTTCTCGAGACATCAAAACGCTAGGTATTTTGAAACATTTTATTCAAACCTAATGTCAGTCGAATAACTTACCTATGAAAGGTGTTCCGATTTTCTTTCTAATTTAGTAAAGTTTCATAATAATATTTTTTCTGAACATAATTTGAAAAATCAACGGGAGTTTATTTGATTCAAATTGTAGATGTTTATTTTGTAAAGTGATATAAACATTGTCAATGCTGTAGGAATCTTATAACACATTGTCATTTGAAATTTAATACAGTTATTTGTTGATTGTACATTAGAACTTTATTATAATGTTCGTTTGAATTTTGTTGGTTTCTTGCACAAATACGCTCCCACGATTTCGTGAATAGTTAGAACTTGTTAAAACATTGGCCGCCTAACGAACGTAAAAACAAAAACATGTATTTAAATTAAGATATGTTGTCTTATTTTGGTCGGATAATGGATTAAACCTGGTACTAAAGTTTGTCTTATAAGACTTATTGTTTAGCAGTGTATTCCTCCTGTCCTTATAGTTTCCTGGTTTTAATGCGAAACGTTTTATGTCCACCGAGTTGAAGTTCCTGGTTCTCACTTAAAAGCATACGCACATTCGCTTCGGATGCTAAAATACATAATAATGAAACATTCGTAGTTACAGTTTTAAAGCTTTAGGGTCTGTGCCAAACTGACTGAAGACACGCCAAGCGGCTCACGGAAGTATGTATGTTAACGCTCATCCATCGAGTATGGAAGATCGAATGTCATAGCATATATTTGTCAGTTATGATGTTACTTAAGACCCTTAAGAACTACATTCTAATTTCTGATACTGAACTATTTGTAAGTCTACTATAATAATTAAGAGGTTTCTAACTTTGTTTGTTTTTTAGAGGATAATCTTCGGAAATACAGATTCGATAATAAAAATTATTTCATCTACGGAATGCAAAATCATACGCGAATGACATAAGCTATTATTTGCGCGAGTGAAGTCGCGGGGAATCGGTTAGTATGGAGATAAAACTAAATGGCATTTATTCTGTTTAAGGTTTCATTTCAAAATACCTCGTCTACCTAGAAATATATTTTTTTAAATATTATAGGATTAGTTACTTGATGGTGCAATGCGTATTCGATCTGCAAAGTGCTTAAGAAATTTTGGCAAGAGCCGGTCGTGGCAAGTGTGAACTCCTGAGTTCTAGCTGACCAAAAATTATCATGGAGGACCGTTCTTCAAAAGGCACAACATCCGGCTGCATCGTTAGTCTTTAACATACATCAATCCTCACTTCAGGCTTAGTGAGTTATGATCCGTTATACCCCTATTTTCCTGGCCTATATACCCTACCATTCATTCAATAGATGGATGACGAAATGAAAATCTTGTTTTTTGACATGTTTATATCAGAAAAACAAAGAACCCGTATTTTGCATTCATTCAAACCTGGAAAGGAAGAATATCTGTGGTCAATGTATATATTTATTATGTAAACGGGTAAGTTCATCGATTTCTTCTTGAATTGTGAACTTATCAATTTCTATCGCGTATTAGCGCTTTCCGTAGATGAACGAATTTTAAAATCGGACTAAATGTTTCGGGAGCCTATCCAATACAAACGAACAAGCAATCAAATATTTCCTCTGTATATAATATTAGTATAGATTGGAAAAAAAAATGTGAACAAAATCTTTTTGTTATTTCTTTCGTAAAACTTTCACTATGTTGTCATTTTTAATATAGATATTTAATATTATACTTTTATATATAAAAATATCATTATCACTAAAATGCTATCACTAACGCGTTCTATTTAAATAGAACTGACATCAAACTTTAATAAAGCCAGAAATAATACTTATCCTAAAAGTGACTTTTACTTATTCAAGAATCGGCTATCATTAAATAAGGTTGGCTATCATTTAATTAATAACCTACAAAAAACTTCCGCCCGACTTTAATAGCAGTTTCTTGAATAAGTAAGTCACTTTAAGAATGTAACTTTTTTAAGTTTCATATTATAATAGAATGTCTAAATCTGACATTGGGGTGCATAGTGACAAACTTTGACGGAATTATCTCACAAACAGTCGCCTAATGGCTATCCTCGGAGCGGTGTGAAATTTTGACTTGCCCGTCTATTTCTGTTTGTCCGATCGTCTAGACACATTTTGTCCTCGTTTCGCAGTTGCAGATGCGAAGCTCGCAGTGTCATGAATCTGAACTGTCTGTACGCCGAGCATTAATGAGTGCTATCTAACAAAATTATTCTCTTACTCGAGCCACTTAGCCCTCGGGATGTTTGTGAATTGGAAAGTCCAATATATCTATCTATATCTACCTATGTGTATTTTTATAGCACTGAAACAAAGTCGTGAAGCTTTATGTCTATTGGAAGATCTATAACATTTACTTTATTGCAGTTTGTAGGACGATATTAACTTTGCACTGACTTGCAATAATTAGCTTTTCGGGATGATTTTATAGTCGAATGTCTTGCTAATCAGAAAATAAGAGTTTACGGCCCAAAGATATTAAATCTGGTTCTTCTGTGATATGTTTCTTTTTGAATGGTTAGATAATATTTAGCGTTATTCAGACTTTGGCGTGAGTGTTTTCGAAGCTATTTGGAGCGGGCGGCGCCGGCGCAGGCAGGGCGGGCGGCAATGCCGCGTTATAAAATAAATATGTGCGCTGGCGCAGACGCGCGTGGGCTTGTCACCGTCTCGCCACTGTCAATAGTAATAAATATATAAAATAACGTTTGTTGCCGGGATAAGGCCGGTGACGCCGCTCTAGTTTGTCTATACACTGACGTCACTGTCTGGGAATCCGGCGAGACGCTTGGAGTCTCCCTGACCTACAGACGATTGCATCCCTGCAACTGCAACCCCCTCACATGGATCCTCTATTTCCAGAGCACATCGAAAACCGTCGGTGTTTTTACAGATGAGGCATAAGAACAATGTTCCAGTTATAATATAATGTGCTACGAAACATAGAATGAACTCTCGACGAAATAGAATGAACTTTCTCGTTTCTATTATTTATAATATATACATGGTAGATTCATTCAAGAAAGATAGTATTTTTATCTATTACTGTTTCATTATAAAAACAAAAACATATATTTAAAGCAGCAATTTACAATAATTTTAATACGACTATAAGCCACTTTAAATACTTGTCTTATACCATGGCAATTTAAATTTTTCTTTCGTATAAATACGATATAAAATAAAAAGCTAAGGAATTTCCGAGATTTATCAACCAATTTGGTTTCACATCAGCTTCGACTTTGTCTTTAGAATGCTTCTTGTTGTTTCTGATTGTTTGTCAGATGATATTTGACTGCGAATCGTGTGTCCGAGCGGGGTTCCCCACGGGCCGTGACGGGAATACAAACAAAGCTTATTTAACATGTTGGGCTTTGCCTGCTCGCATCATCGCTAGCCGGATATCAAAATTTCATTGTACACTACATTAATCAGTTATAAATCCTTTTAAGAAATAAACTAACACCAAGTTGCTTAAACATTATTAAAAATGTAATTAGTATAAAGCGATATTACCAATTTGGGTGTAAGTCGAAATATAGTGGACAAAATTTTAATTTCTCCTTTAAAATAAATCTGTACTGCATACATATTGAGATAAAAAATATATTCATATGTTTAATTGTTGTTACAATATATTTAAGAAATCCTGCAGTTTCGATTTAAATGCTACGCTTGGATGACTCTAAACTCTTGTAATAGAATCCCTGACGATTGACGTATCCTAATATAACTGGTATTTTGGTGATAGTTACCGTTTTAAACACAATTCTTATTCTACATAATGTCACGTTTTGAGGGGGGGATTTGACTTTGTCATTCTAAGCTATGCATTAACCAACGTTTCGTTGAAGTGCCATTGACGTCATCGGAACAGTCGAACTATAAAATGTTACAAGAATTACTTTAAAGGCATTAGCATTATCAAATATCATAAATGAATATCTCATTCGTGTTTATTTATGTTGTTTGCACATTGAAATTCGAATCAGTTTTTTATTAGTACGTATTTGTAACGTAATGTATTTTTGTTTTAATTTTAAACAGAAAATGTTTTTTTTTGCTACTATATCGCAATTAGTCTTCATGTTTCAATTCTATTGCATGATTAATAATAATCATGCAATAGAATTGAAACATGAAGACTAATTGCGATTAATCTATAAAGATTATGTATTAAATTACTAATATTGTAAAGAGGTAAAAATTCTAAAATGGTTTGATTGTTTGTTCACTTATCTTCGAAAATACTATGATAATCTTTTTTTTAATCTACGGGCAGCTATCTACATCGTCCACACGTGACATGGGCTATAATTTACATGGGCGAAGTCGGAGGCCAACAGCTAGTAGCGAAATAACTTTCTGTTCTTCATTACATTTTTCACTACTGAAAGTGAATTTCGCATGAAAACTTGGAGTTCTAATTTCTACATAGATTCTTAATTAACTACTGTCACAGTTGTTCAAATTTTAGACTAGCTTTTCTTAACATTCATGTCTTATGACGCCATTGCTAAAATGAATACTAAGTATGTCTCCGTGTTTTAAAAATCGAACACTGTATTTTTATGATGTCTGTTGTGTTGTTGTCATACTGTCAAATATTTATGTTTATTTATTCACACATTGATTGACTTCGTTATTGGAGCGACAATAACGAATTTGTCCAATTTTTTAGTCTCGCACATTTGCTATTGTTCAAAACGTTTTATTGAGGACAACATCTCAATTAGGATTTATTATCTCAAAAGGCAAAAGAACCACACGTAAGACTGAGCATAGATTTAGTTTCTTATTAATGTATAACAACCATTAAAGTATATAAAATATACAGAATCCAGGGCAAGCTTCCCTTAGACATTTAACTTTCCACGAAAGCTATAGGAAAGAAAGCCCACGTAATATTTTAGATATTGATCTTGATTTATTTGTCCGTACTTTAACGTTAACTTAAATAGGTAATACTATTCATTTAGAATTTTTTTTTTTTTAATAACCACTACCTATGATTCTATTCTTATTACGTTATGTCGCTGTTGTGGGTTGCATGTGTAGACAGTTGATTAGCCCGTGGGTACTGGGAATCGTTTTATTGTAATAGCCAGTAGTTCCAGCTAGCGGATTCCGGTCGGCCGGTCAATGCGCATTGTTTCTTGTGATTCGGTCGATCCGTCGATCTTTCCGATATCGTAATTTTGCCACCTTGTTTATATTCAAATGTCGTTTGCTCGTTATACCTCAATGGCCGGCGTTGTGACGACAGCGTTTTATAACGGATCGCGGTCTGCATGAATGTACATAACAATATTTTTAATTTGAATATGTTGCGTCAGTAGCTCACTGGAAAGTTTTATTTTTTTCAATATTGTAAATACGCCATCTTAATTCAACTCTTTTATGAAATGTAGATGCCTAAGATTGCACATAAAAATGAAGAGAAATAGATATAAAATTACGAAGCCATTTGATGAGACAAATTCTGCTCATAATAGGTACAACGCAAATTTTAACTCAAGAACCTTTACGATTATAACAAAATCGGCAAATTTCATTCCTCATATGCCAATTGATGCGCGTATGTTAGGAAATTATAAGGAAAAGAAAAGGATATTGTTGTATACGGCTAAAATTGCATATTTGAAGCTTGGATGTAACTAAGTATCACGTTTTAGGCCAATAAGTTCCTTTGGCCTTATAATGTAATTATCTCGTTTTTAATTTGAGTTTATGAGGATTTTCTTTTGTTTTATCCACTTTATTTAGGATACGCAATTAATCCTTTTCCGTGAACATCATTAAATTTATTGAGCTATTACTAAATATTGTCATAATTATTGAATTGTGATTATATAAACAATAGGAAAATAGAAAAAATATGTATCAGCGCAAAATGCCCAATACAGAGCGGTACCTATAATAGAACTATCTTCAATGAACACTACTACCATATAGCTCAATAATAAGTAAACAATGAAAATATCTGAATTTTGTATCTGACACTGCTAATTCTTGAATGCCCAATCTAACTGCATAAAACGTTTTCTACAAAATTAAATCGTAATTACCAAACACCTACGTCTTTGAAGTAACAGAGTAAGCTCTTTTTAGACACCTGCTATCACGTGTATTTGAAGTGTGTAGCTTTTGCGGACAAATTTACAAGAAATAACAATCTCTTTTCTTCGCAGCGGTAACGGCAAGTTGGCGACGTGGGGTTGCATCATCGGGTTCACGGTAATGATGTGCCTGGACGTCGGGCTAGGATAACATCCCAATGGGTGTTTTACCACGCCGTATGCGGCCTAACGTTAACGCCTTCCCACTACCACCTATTACTCCATATCAGCACGCTCTCACCAACTTACAGCGAATATCAGGCCAACACCAGCATATCATGTGCGTTAATCAAATGTACAAAGTGATTTTGATTTGAGAACAGACATTTTCGTGACAGTACAGTGCACGACGCTCGCATTATGGGCGCCACCTTCATTCGTTGGAAGAACGCATGATAAGTAAGCATTATTGTGGGGTAGGCCTAAACTTAAACAGATTTCAATCACTCGATAAAATTTACTTATCTGAAAGATCATTATTCTAAAAGATTGAAAAGAAAATATCATATTTCAATCAAAGAAAATATAGACTGTGGCACAATTTACAAAATGGCGACACGATTTTTTTTTTAATTTTTTCAGGTGATTGAAAATACATTCCTTAATTACAAATCCAATAGTTTTACATATCTAACAAAAGTTTTATAACGCCAGCGAAGACTAGTATGGTCCACATTTATAGAGCATTTATGGAGGTTGCGAATTCTCAAGTAGCAAGTCATACTGTCTTAATAGATGCAAGCGTATTCACTAGATGAAAATTGTGAAAGTCCTGTTATGTAAAGGTAATAACAGTTGCAATTATCTTGAGAAATAGAGGTCGCTAACTATAATGTATATACTGTCGGTGCTGCTATTATTATATTAATCTTATAACACGTATTATAAGAAATATATATTAGAATTGTGATAGATTATAATTATTTGTATAGACAATACATCGACAGTTTATAAGCACTTTAATACGCTTAATGTTTAATTTACCAAAAAGGGAATATTGAAGGTTGTAATGCACCAAAAACCTGGTAAGTTGTCATTTAATTCTACTATATTACTTGCAGATGTAATCGTTTTATATTTCTTGTTACTTATTATTTAAATACATACATAAGTACTAATTACAGGTACAAAGTACTACTATTCCAGCGTTAAAAGCTATTTTAGACAATGTTAATACATTAATGCACAATACTCTGTAAGTGTTAATCAAAGAAAAAAAAATGCAAGTTTTTCCAATAAAGGATTGTGGGAAGATGCGTTAACAATGTTAAGTACTTCCAAGTAAAAGACTAAGCGACGATATGTGATGATTATTTAAGTTTAATCGAGTGTTTTTTATCCTGACTTATGCTAATAATAAACTGTAATTAATTCTTGTAAATACAATCTTTGCGTGTAAAGACTACGTTTTATTTTAAAGTACAACCAAACGAATGGACACCACTCGTGCAATAATAATTTGGGAACAACAAGCAGTGAGGTTATCTCCACAAATTGCAAATTAAATTTTTGTTATCGAAGCAGTAGATTAATAATTTTATTGGGATAAGTTTAAGGATTGTACGACCGGGTTTTTAGTTCATGTTATTTTCATTTTAAAATGATTAAGTATGAAAATACTAACATTAAATTTAACTAAATGTGACCTTATTACTTTAAGGTGACTAAGAAATATTCTTACAAATGGGTTAGGAATCTAACTGTTTGATTGTATCTATTTAGAGACGAAAAGTAGAAGAAACTACGAACCAATCGATTATAAAATGAATTACACATGTTTCATTGAAATCATAAAATAAGTTTTCTTATAAATTTGTGTATTTATATCCCAAATGGTGTAATAGTTAAATATCAAATATTTTATTAGACTTGCGAGACCTCAAAAAAACCCAGTTGAATGGCGTTATGATAAATTAAAACACAACATTCGTTGTAATTTTAACTTTTATTTTTTAACAGTTACGTTTAATTTTTTTAAGCAAATTAAGTGTGCAATAATTAATTGTTTCACAGCTTGTTGTTCATTAATCTTTATTTCGTACTCCTTCTTAGTTTAAAAAAAAACTATAACATTAAAATTAACCTCCCGAAGCCTTTTACTGATCTGATCTTTAATCACTGATCAAACTGTGAGACTATAATTTTTCATTGATTTATTTTGATAAACTAGTCTGAAAAACCAATCTTGAAATTTCATACATTTTGATATCTTCAGTCAAACAAAATCTTGTTTGATTATCATTGTAGTCATCAAAAGGAATATCATTTAGTGTTATCTTAGTCCATCTTATGATAAAATGGTAGGATTATATGGAGATGACAGGGTAATTTCCCTTTCTTTTTGTAAAAAAAAAAATCAACAGTCATCCATTAACGTACCGAAATCGAAGTATCGATATCTACATGTCAGCTCATTTGTGAACTTCACTTCGCGATGGAGACAGAGCGCCGAGTGGTACCAAACACGATATTTTCCACTTTTCTTTATCTAAATACATTTTACTTCCTTCCTTTTCTTATATATTTTCTAAGTTTCACAGGTATATATAAATTTGAGCCACTACGAAACGGTGGTAATGTTTTGCTATTGCGTTTAATCTACCTTATGGAGAGGTCTTTAGTGAAGTTATTAACCATCGTTTATTTGATATGTAGTTTTGTATTTTATGTCAATGTACTGTCTGTAGTGGCGTTTATTTTTACCGTACAAAACTGGGAGGACATGTAACTAAAATAATTAATTTAGCAATACTTCAAGTAAATTAATAATGAGATTTTGTTATGATGAAAAGAATTAAATGAAATATTTACAAAATTGAATTAAAATTATGGCTATGCAGCTACATTGTATTATAATTTTAATTGCTAAACCAAACTGGTGGAATTCGATGTAAATAGTGCTTATAAATAAAATGAAAATTAAAAGTATTATTATATAGTTAAATAACACAAAAACAATTTATCGTAATATACTACTTAATAAAAATTTTAAAAGGAGTATTATAATTATATTTATTTTTTACATTTAAATTTATTCTACGTTTGCGAGTTCCACCATTTCAATACTATGTAATAACTTTAGTTACTTATTTAAGTACTTAAAATGTCGAATGGAACAATTTTATTTTATTTTTTACCAAACTAATAAAATGATGGGCAATTTTAAGACTTATATCACCAATTTTCAGTGTTTTTTCTGATTGTGTCTTATGTTGAAATAAATTTGAAATATATATTTCAGAACAGTGGTTATTTATATGAATTAAAATTGTTCAAACTATATTATTTATAACACGAGACGTGTGTTTGATATTTTGATGTTCGTCGAAATATACAAAGCATTTATTTAGTTAAATTAATATCGTTAGATAATAATTAATCTTTATGTCAATTGAAATCGAATTATTGATTCATAGTTGACTACTCGTTAATTTGGCTCAATTTATGTTTCCATAAATCAATATCAAATAGATACTATTTGTAATTATATGTATTTAGTTAATATTTAATTATATGACGTTTGATTTTAGCAATCGGTAACATTAGCGCAATCCTGATATGAATTTGTTACCCTATACGTATTGTTTTTAATTTATAAATACATAAAATTATTCACAATTAAGGTTATTTTATTCATCCATACTCCGTACCTTAACTTATTTTCTTTGACCAGCAATTTATGATATTTGAAATGAAAGAGTCAGTGAGAAGAATGCTTTTCGCATGATTAATATTTATTTGTGTCGTTAAAAAAGAAAAATAAATAATTTTCATTTCAATATTTACCAAGGTGACATCGTGTTAATTATATATCTGAGATAGCAATACATAAAGATATTGCTTGAAACGCCATTGATATATAATTACTACCTTTACCTCAGCAAAGTCATGACCGGGTTATGGGGTTGACAAGTGGTTTTACTTTGATACTCGTTTTTACAATAGACGCTAAGATTTTTTTTGTTTTTGAACTCTTCATTAGTAATTAGCATTTTCGGACTACTATTACGGAGGTTAAGCAATTTTAGTAAAAGATATGTCGGAATATGTTGATCGAAAATGTAAATATGTACTGTACCTATATACCACAGCGCAGGGTCCGTCCCTTTAGGCAAACTATGCAACTTTCTAGGGCTCTCGTATTAAGGAGACAGCTTGTCATGGCAAACAGATTATGTTTGCTCTTAATTATTTGTACCATATAAAACGACTTTTGTTCTTTGTAACTTAAAATTTTATAACAGCACATAATTTTCAGATCCAAGTAGCTATTTTCTTTTGCCATTGGCAAAATAAAACTCTTTAATCGGAGTAGCGCCGAGATCCAGTATATTTCGTTGGGCGCCAAGTTTCATTGACTGGCGATGCCATTGCGTGTATTCGGCCTGGACGACATACTCCGAACAAAGTAGCAATGATTTTTCGTAATAGCCGGTACAAAATTTAACAAATAAGTAGTCAAATATTATTTTATTAAATACGATAATACATAAAAGATAAAACCATGACGAACATGTGGTAGGTTAAGGTTCATCCGTTCTATCCACGCCTCAATAAACAAGTGCTCCAGTGTATTAGTCATTTATCATCAAATATTAACTAGTAGCGAAAAGTAAGAAGTGCTTGAAAAATTCGTCAGTCCTCTTGCGTCCTGGGTAGCGTATTGGTTAGAGCAATCGCCCGGATTGCGAAAGGCCGTGGGTTCTAGTCCCATCTCAGAGTACCTGCAGCTGGTTTTTTTAAGCATTTTCCATTACTAATAAGTATTCATTGTTCTTAGTTAAGTGATCTTGTTACATGTTTCACACACAACTATTATTCACTCACGGATAGCTAATAAATTCATCGAAGTTAACGATTCTTGGTCAGCTCAATGACATCATTCCACTGGTGATGCACAGGCGTGTCCTATGGATGGAATCAAATATGAAAAACTGCGTGCCTTCCGAAGCACGGGAGAGTTCAACATAATAAATATATGGTCACTCATCATATAAGCGATTGCGAAAGTAACTAAGCCTCCACATAGTAAACCGAATCTTTGCGTGTAAAGACTACGTTTTATTTTAAAGTACAACCAAACGAATGGACACCACTCGTGCAATAATAATTTGGGAACAACAAGCAGTGAGGTTATCTCCACAAATTGCAAATTAAATTTTTGTTATCGAAGCAGTAGATTAATAATTTTATTGGGATAAGTTTAAGGATTGTACGACCGGGTTTTTAGTTCATGTTATTTTCATTTTAAAATGATTAAGTATGAAAATACTAACATTAAATTTAACTAAATGTGACCTTATTACTTTAAGGTGACTAAGAAATATTCTTACAAATGGGTTAGGAATCTAACTGTTTGATTGTATCTATTTAGAGACGAAAAGTAGAAGAAACTACGAACCAATCGATTATAAAATGAATTACACATGTTTCATTGAAATCATAAAATAAGTTTTCTTGTAAATTTGTGTATTTATATCCCAAATGGTGTAATAGTTAAATATCAAATATTTTATTAGACTTGCGAGACCTCAAAAAAACCCAGTTGAATGGCGTTATGATAAATTAAAACACAACATTCGTTGTAATTTTAACTTTTATTTTTTAACAGTTACGTTTAATTTTTTTAAGCAAATTAAGTGTGCAATAATTAATTGTTTCACAGCTTGTTGTTCATTAATCTTTATTTCGTACTCCTTCTTAGTTTAAAAAAAAACTATAACATTAAAATTAACCTCCCGAAGCCTTTTACTGATCTGATCTCTAATCACTGATCAAACTGTGAGACTATAATTTTTCATTGATTTATTTTGATAAACTAGTCTGAAAAACCAATCTTGAAATTTCATACATTTTGATATCTTCAGTCAAACAAAATCTTGTTTGATTATCATTGTAGTCATCAAAAGGAATATCATTTAGTGTTATCTTAGTCCATCTTATGATAAAATGGTAGGATTATATGGAGATGACAGGGTAATTTCCCTTTCTTTTTGTAAAAAAAAATCAACAGTCCTCCATTAACGTACCGAAATCGATGTATCGATATCTACATGTCAGCTCATTTGTGAATTTCACTTTGTGATGGAGACAGAGCCCAGTGGTACCAAACACGATATTTTCCACTTTTCTTTATCTAAATACATTTTACTTCCTTCCTTTTCTTATATATTTTCTAAGTTTCACAGGTATATATAAATTTGAGCCACTACGAAACGGTGGTAATGTTTTGCTATTGCGTTTAATCTACCTTATGGAGAGGTCTTTAGTGAAGTTATTAACCATCGTTTATTTGATATCTAGTTTTGTATTTTATGTTAATGTACTGTCAATAGTGGTGTTTATTTTTATCGTACAAAACTGGGAGGACATGTAACTAAAATAATTAATTTAGCAATACTTCAAGTAAATTAATAATGAGATTTTGTTATGATGGAAAGAATTAAATGAAATATTTACAAAATTGGATTAAAATTATGGCTATGCAGCTACATTGTATTATAATTTTAATTGCTAAACCAAACTGGTGGAATTCGATGTAAATAGTGCTTATAAATAAAATGAAAATTAAAAGTATTATTATATAGTTAAATAACACAAAAACAATTTATCGTAATATACTACTAAATAAAAATTTTATAAGGAGTATTATAATTATATTTATTTTTTACATTTAAATTTATTCTACGTTTGCGAGTTCCACCATTTCAATACTATGTAATAACTTAAGTTACTTATTTAAGTACTTAAAATGTCGAATGGAACAATTTTATTAATTTATTTTACCAAACTAATAAAATTATGGGCAATTTTAAGACTTATATCACCAATTTTCAGTGTTTTCTTCTGATTGTGTCTTATGTTGAAATAAATTTGAAATATATATTTCAGAACAGTGGTTATTTATATGAATTAAAATTGTTCAAACTATATTATTTATAACACGAAGACGTGTGTTTGATATTTTGATGTTCGTCGAAATATACAAAGCATTTATTTAGTTAAATTAATATCGTTAGATAATAATTAATCTTTATGTCAATTGAAATCGAATTATTGATTCATAGTTGACTACTCGTTAATTTGGCTCAATTTATGTTTCCATAAATCAATATCAAATAGATACTATTTGTAATTATATGTATTTAGTTAATATTTAACTATATGACGTTTGGTTTTAACAATCGGTAACATTAGCGCAATCCTAATATGAATTTGTTACCCTATACGTATTGTTTTTAATTTATAAATACATAAAATTATTCACAATTAAGGTTATTTTATTTATCCATACTCCGT